TCCTTCTCTGTTGCCAAGTCATATGAAAGCAAAAACTGTCTTCTCTTTCCTCACTAGGAAGATATACACGGAAACAAAACGGTGATTCTTAAATGGCCCTCAGAGCTAAAAAGGACAATAATCAAGTATCTTAAGTCATAGTTACTGCAGGCTCAAACTTTCTTTGAAGTCTCTGCTTAGAGCTTTAAATATTATTTTAAAATTATATTCAACTTTATCCTATATGTTTATCTTAAACTTCCATTTTTTTCACCACCACCACCAAATAAGGAAGAAAGGAATGAGGGGAGAAGGGAGAAACAGACACACAGCAAGTGCTTACCATGATTACTTTGTGGTTTCATGTGTCTGATACCTGCCATGTACTCAAACACTAGTGTAAGAAATACATTTGGGACCTGGAGAGACCTATCAGTGGTTAAGAACACTAGGGTTTTTCAGAAGATCTTAGTCTCAGAACCCACACTGAGCAGCTCACAGCTGCCTGACTCCAGTTCCAGGTGCACCAACACGCTTGGCTTCCCTGGATACTGATATGCACATGCACAGAGATACACATAAAAATAATATACATCTTAAAACAACAAAAAGGAATTACAGACTTGTCAAGTATGGTGGTGGCACACACCTTTAATCTCAGCACTCATGAGGCAAAGGCAGGTGGATCTGTGAGTTAGAGGGCAGCCTGACCTACCTAGCAAGTATGAGGACAGCCAGGACTACATAATGAAATCCTGTCTTAAAATCAAAACCAGAATTATAGGTTTAAGAATAAAGTGGTATACTTTACTAAGAATTACAATACCAAAAGCTTTAGTCTTGCCACTTCTATGTCTAAGCTTGGTTACTCAGAATTTATTACTTAAGTTTTCGGCTTAGCAATTTCTCATTAAGATCAAGGGATGTTTCCTTCCTGCAGATGTAAAAAGCATAACTCAATTGACAAATCTTTTTACATGTAGCTTTTTCCAGCTTACAACTTACTGAAGCTACATCCTGTGTACTATTCAGATAGAAAGCAAGCAAACAAAAAATTCTGTGTATTTCCTCTTGATGATCTTGCTATTTACTAGTGTGTGTCTACATGGGTATGTGTGGTTAGGAAGCAACTTTATGGTTCTTTCTACTGTGTGGGTTCTGTCCAGCAGGCTTGCTCAGCAAGTGCTTTTACCTGGTCTCTGGCCCACAACTACATTTTTAAAGGTAGTTTGCCTTTCTTCTTTCTTTAACTTTTAGAGGCGTTATTGCATATAAACTGAAAATATAAAAGTCCTCAGAATATATATAGGGCTTGATGATTCTCACAAATTAGCACACCAAACAGAACACCGATAAGAAAATGTCAACAGCATGTAGTGATTGCTATATTTTATGTTCTGTATAACTATTCTAATTAACCTTTAGGCTTTATTGTCAGTTATTTTATACTGAATACTGTATATGGGCATTAAATTCATTCATTTATTCACTCATCAAACAATTATTTCTTGAAGACCTACTATTCTTTGTCTGAGATAAAGCAATAATAATGCAATATACAGTTCTGGTAAATAAGTCAGTAAATGACATAACGTCTAGGCCATCATAGAGCTTTTATTCTATTAGCAGTAAATGATAATAAAATATGTTAACCATATGGCATATAAAATGATAACAGGTGCTAAGGAAAAGAAAAATACAGCAGATGAATGTTAGAAATGTAGAGGGGATTTTTAGAAAGCATGGCCAGAGATTTCCATATTGAAAAAATAGTATCTGGGTCAAAATCTGGAAGAGTGATAGGGAGCCAGCCAAGTAGGTACCATTCCAGGCACAGAAGCCAGCAAGTACAAAGACTGAATTAGAAGTATGCCTGTTGCATCAGCAAGAGGCTAAGCACAAGAGAAGGGGACAGAAGGAAGATAAGCAATGGGGGCGGGGGATGTGTTAGAACACAGAGGCTCCTGGGTAGCCGATTGCCAGTGTGCAAATGTGGCTTTTACTCCAGGAAAACCAGAGGTTATGAAGAGTCTAGAATAAAGGTGTGAGACACGGCATACTTCAATGGCTTCTGACTGAAGCACAAAGTAAAGACCCACAACATTAGAAACAGAGGACCAGCCAGGAAACTGCCAGAATACAGGTAAGTGGGTGGCTTGGACCAAGGGGTAGCAGGAAGAAGGTAGTACACAATCAGGCAAGGATTTGCTTAAGATGGAGGCAGAGTACAGAGAATGAGATCTAAGGATAAAAATACACTTAAGTTCCGACTACTGGGCCGTTCCTAAAGATAAGATAAACCCTACAGGAGATACAGAGTTCAGATGTACCTCAGGGTGAAGCACAGGAAACTTGAGATTTTTATAACAACCTAGTGGGAACATCCAGCAGAAAATTGGGCTTCAAAGTCAATTATTCAAAGGAAAGTTCTGGGCTAAAGATTAAATTTGGTACCATCAACACATAGCTAGTATTTGGATAAAAAAAAACTTAGCAAAGGAATAGACCAACAAAAAGAGAATACAGTCAAGACAGACCCTGGGACATCATCAACTAGAGGTAGGAAAGATGAGGAGATCACAATGAAGTAACTAAAGATGTAGGACAAAATCCAGGGAAGAAAACTATCCACAATCAAGTAGAGAAAGGACTCGTCAAGCAGAGGACGACTGCTAAGTACACTGCAATTCAGCAAGAAAGCAAGAGAGCAAAAGGAGTTTCACATATACTTTCTGTGACAAAGTATTTTGCTGTCAAAGGAGAGGGGAGTGAAGATGGGAGAGCACAGTGCTGGCTGAGGGAATGATTTTGACCAGAGGATAAAATGATGGGGGGGGGGGGGGGCGGAGCAAGAAGAAGTGGAAACTACTGTAAAAGGCCTGGTTCCCAGCTAGGGGCACAGTGAGTGCAGGACTTAGAGAACACACATAGACAGGTAGGTAGACAGCAAAGCTTGCCAATGTTTTCTTCCGGCTGCTTCAACTTTGTTAGTGCTCTAGGTCTAGCTAGGGTTCTGAGGAAGTGACAACAGGGTGAAGAAAAAGGACCGCAGACATGAACTATGTTCAGTGGTCAGCACTAAGGACTTCCTGAGATCAGTGACCTAAAGGGAGCAGCAAATATGACTGGGCTTCTCCTCTACACACTTTCAATCATGTGAGTACAGGCCAGGAATTAGGTGCACAGAAGGCTGTGCATACTTGGACTACACAGGGAACCTAAACTGGATAAAGACAAGTGAGACTCAGGTAGGATCAGAGAGAATGAAAAACATACCAGATGTCAAAACCTGAGGGACCCAGAGTACAAGAAACAAACATGGAAAAACATGAAGGTGGCTGAGAAGAAACGGAGACAGAGATGACAGTCTGCTTTGAGTCTGGATGAAAACAAATCCTACACATGAACAGAAAGCTGGAGCAGAAGGCAAACTCAGAAGGAGTTTGAAGACACAAGGCTACTGAATGTTGTACACGGAACACTGAAGTCCCCAAGAACTTTCACACATGCACTCGTTCTGAATACCAGTGAGTAGGAAACAAGTCTGAGAAGTCTACAGATTTTAGGTTTCTACAATCTTGTGAATAGAGGTAATTGCTATCTGTCTTGGACTATCTTTTCAAATCTGTCACACTGACAAACAGCCTTGGAAAAATAGTGTTTTTCTCCAGAGAAAATGACAAGTTCATCTTTTCCCTTAAAGAGAATCTCACCCTCCCCAGAGCAGTCATGATTTACCAATTACATAGAATTTCAGCTCCCTAAGCCTGGAGTCCCCCACCTGTGTGATGAGCTAACTGGGGTATAGGCATCACCTGGCTCCTTCACAGAACCCTTCTGAGACTGAGAACTAGTGCAGGCAAATGTTAGCATGACTTGAGGTGTTTTGTGGATAATGCTTTTGCTGTTATTAATACAAGAAATCTTCTGTGTCATCTTCTGCAACCATCCTTTATACTGTATATCAGCTTGCAAATGGAGGAAAATCTCAAATCCTTGACAACTGTTGACAAAAATCCTGATTAATACAACTAAATATGTAGGAGGAAGACTAGTTTGTAACAGATGAAATCTAGAGATGTTTTAAAAGATGCTGGAAGAAACAAATACATCTCTAGACTCAATAATATGAAAAAGCAAACACACATACAACCTGCTACTTGTGAAGGTTGAAGGCAATGACAAAGCAAGACTTAAAGAATTGAAGTAGCATTAACAGGTGAGGTTCAAAATATCCATTTTCAGCCAGGCTGATGGGGGTGCACACCTTTTATCCCAGTACTCAGGAGACAGAGGCAAGTGGATCTTTGTGAGTTCGAGGCCAGCCTGTTCTACAGAGCTAGTTCCAGGACAGCTAGGGCTGCTATACAGAGAAACTATGTCTCAAAAGTCCAAAAAAAAAAAAATATATATATATATATGTATATATATATGTATATATATATATATATCCATTTTCTTTTGTCTAACCTTGAGTTGTATGTACATTACAAAAGCTTTTCAGGAGACTAGGAGAGTTAAGTCTTGAGGGTCAGATGAAATTAGTTGTAATTAGTTCTAGTCAGACTAGTTTCTACATCCCTTGATACGGTCTGAACTAGATCATGAAGGGACTGTCTTTCTAGGTAAGTTACTCCACTTAGAAGTGGCTAAACATGCTATCGGGAGGTGGAACACAGCTGGAGGACGGGGCCACTGGAGGTGTCTCTGAAATATTTATCTTGCCTGTCCCTTCTGCTTCCCAGCTGCCATGAGGACAGCAGCACTCCTCTGCCAGGATTCTCCACTAGGCTACTGCTTTGCTGTGAACTTAAGACTAACTTAACACTAACTTCCAGAACTGTGAACCAAAACAAACCTTTCCTCTAATATGGCTATGTCAGGCAACATACCACAGCATACTCACCCATTATCAACTATGGAACGCTTCTTACCAAAAAAAACACTTTTTTTTGTAAAGTTTTAATCTTAAGTCTGTAAAAATATAACTAAAGTTAGCTAAGATGCAACTGTTAACTTACTTGAATTAGATCTAAAATGCCAAGTTCACTTTCTGAGGAATCCACACAGAAGACAAAATATAGTGTTGCATAATGTCTATAAATCAGTTTGTTGTCAGATCCTCCAATTAATCTAAATGACAAAACAAAATAATTAAAATAGTGTAAGGAACAAAATGTAGACCATTTCATTAGCTCAAGAAAAACTGCATTTGTTAAAACCTTTTATAAAACAAAATGTAACAACGGCATAGCATTCAAGTAAACTTTAGAAGCTAAGTAAATTAAAACAGCAATTTCCTTCAGAAATGTCAAGTAAAAAAAGCCAGGACTAAATTTTAGTTAGTTATGAGAGAGAGTGAGAGAGGAGAAAGAGAGAGAGTGAGAGAGGAGAGAGAGAGGAGAGAGAGAGAGAATAACATTTAGACTGACAGCTAATCACAGAAAAATTAAGAGAGGAGTACCGTGGGTAAGGTAGCAATGGCTGAAAAGGGCTATTATCAAAACAATATGCACTTTCAAAGAGACATGAGGCCAGTAGACAAGTAAAGATTAGTAAACAATGAGGCTGAAGGAACAGGCAAAAAAAAAAATCAGATCACAGAGCATGTGCGAGTGCTTACAAGATGTAACTTCATAGGCCACAGTAAAATACACAGCTAGAAAAAAAAAAGAGTATTTCTTAAGTTTTAGACAGACTTAAGCATCAAGATGCTCTCCAAAAACATTGTTCTTAAATCTGAATGTAAGAACAAGGGGCTAATGAATACTCAATTTTCTCATCAAATACTTTTATTCATATTGACTAGAATCTTATATTTTTCCAAATGTACTTTAGCTGTATAATAGTAAAGTTTATTTATACCAAATTCACCTTCTCAAGACCACTGAAACATTAACATAATTTAAAACCAGGCTATATACAATCAAACTAAGGGGCATGCACAACAGTATAGGGTGTGTTATTTTTCTTATTCCATAAATATAACAATAAAATTAAAAGCTCTATAGAAACTGCTCCTCTAAGTACATACTACTTCCTTGTCCTGTAAGAACAAAACCAAATAATCTTAGGGGGAAAAAATGAAGGATTCTTACTATGCTAGGTTACTTGTCTGGAGAGGGTTTAATCTAAAAGTCTGTATGTACACTTTAAACATTCTGAGACTGGTTATGACAACAGTTACAACTGTTCCCAGAAGGGTGAAATAAGCACCCGTTTCACTGTAGGCTGTCTTTTGTTTTGCTTTAAAAGATCATGCTTCTGAAAACATGGGTTACAAAGTAGATTAAAGCTCAGAGAACTAAAGATCTCTGAAAGGTAAGGACATAGTTAGCCTTGAAAATATAACATCACTTTAAACTAGTCTAATACTGATACAAATTCTTGTAGGAAGTTGCCTTATTAGGGTTTCTTTTGCTATGATGAAATATCATGATGAAAAATCAAGTTGGGGAGGAAAGGGTTAACTTGGCTTACATTTCCACATAGAAGTATATCACTTAAGGAAGTAAGGAAAGGAACTCAAAACAGGGCAGGATCCTGGGGGTAGGAGCTGATACAGAGGCCATGGAGAGGGGCTGCTTACTGGCTTGCTACCCGTGGCTTGCTCAGCCTGCTTTCTTATAGAACCCGGGACCACCAGCCCAGGGATGGCACCACCCACAGTGGGCTGGGCCTCCCACAATGATCACTAATTGAGAAAATGCCTTACAGCTAGATCTTATGGAAGCATCTTCTCAATTGAGGCTCCCTCCTCTCTGATGACTCTAGTTTGTGTCAAGTTCACAAAAAAATTAGATAGTACAGAGGTGAAATACAGTATGTAAAATTTTATAAACAGGAATTTCTAATTTTTGATATCTTCTTTGAGCTAATATTTCATTTAAAAAAGAAAATGAACTTCCAAGAGGTTGAACAATCTGACCAAGGGACCTGGGTAGCCTCATCTGTGGCACAGCAGTTGCTTCCCATTTTTATATGGTTAGGGGAGAATCTCAATTTCAAAGCCTAATTTAATTTCCATCCAAACAGGGCCCTTCCTCCTCACTCTGGTTCTCACCATTCTGCCACGTGCAACACTATTCGGTGAGAAGCTGTGGCAAAGGTGGCCAGATTCCTGCACAGGTTTAACAGAAGCAGAGCAAGCGTTGCTTTGGTCATTAAGTTAGAGTCTGGAGGGGGTTAACACCAAAAATCTACAAATCATAAATATGAATTACATGTTTAAGTGCAGCATGATATAACATTTTAAAAATGCAAACAAAGATAAATTAGCTGCTAAAATGCAAATAAACTTTCCACATGATTTAAAAATAAAAGTTTGGTCAGACAAAAATGGGTTCTGTTGCCCTGACATTTTTTTTTTATAATATGCACCTTACCATTCGTGAGGCTTTATTGAAATTTAGTTTTAATTCTCAATGAGACAATATTAAGTATATTAACTATGTAACTGGGGAGGAAGCATTTATGGAACCACTTGGAGGTAAACTGCTTTCAATAGAATCCAATTCTTTTAAACTATTTACTTAGAGTTTGGGACGCACATCAATAGGAAAGCACCTGCCTAGTATGCACAAAGCCTTGGGTTTAATTCCCAACACTGCAAACAATGAAAAAGGAAAAAGAAAGAAATATTTACAGTATCTGTTTAGTTTGCAAACTATTTTTTTCATTTTAGAAATAGAAACATCCACTGGTTGAATCTATACTTGGGGTATGTTAGGTACATAGATATATTTGAAACGTAGACTTTTGACTTTGTTTATAATAAAATAAAGGATACAGTCTGAATTTTTACATGCATTCACCCTAAGAATACTACACCAATTAGAAAAAATGTTTCAGATGTTTAGAAAAATGTGTTACATTTATTTGTGTATATGAATGTACCTATATCACATGGTATTTTATGAGAATAAGTTCTCTCCTTATACTGTGTAGGTCCTAGGGATCACATTCAGGTCATCAGGGTTAGCAGCCAGCACCCTTACTAGGTAAGTTCCATTTCTCCAGATGTATTTACAGGCAAAATTTTACAAAATAAGCAAAAATGCAACATGAAAATGAAACATTTTAAGGTTATATTTTTATATGTCAGGAAATACAAAATGCACTTTCTAGAAGGATAAACAAGAAATTGGGGGAAAGGACTAAAGCTGAGAGAGGGAAATTTTTACAAAGACTGAATATCTGTAAAAGTCTGTAGATTAGAGTTATGCCTAACAATAACAGCAATTAATTTACCTAATTTAGTTCTAGTGAGAGATTGTCATCATAAATTGGTTAGTAGTGTACACTTTCATCACACACTGAAATTAGAAATAGCCATGAAATGCTTTACTTACAGTCCTCCTTCTAGGAAATTACAAACATTCTCGTCTCGCTTAGACACCAAATGGAAAGTCTCCCTGATGATTTGCTGTTGTGTGTCTTCACTCTGAGAAAGGATAGTTCATATGTATTAGGATCAAGTTTACAGGGTTAACGGCATTTTAAGACATTCTGAAAATAAAAGTCACTTTAATGTGAAAAAAAAGGGAAGTGTCCTTGGAAATCAGATTCAAATTACAGAAGTGAAACCCAACATTTTTTTGATGAAAAAAGGGGAAAAATTCACTCTAGTTTACTACTACAATGAAAGTAACTTATTTTTACCTTCAAAACCAAATGAGAAACACAACACTCAAATACACTGGTGAAAAGGTAATGCAGACAGCAGCTAGTTGGTGATCTCTGATTTACAGATAGCTAAACTATGCAGGGAAGTTAACTCATGGAGTTAGAGTAAATAGATTTGAGTGCAGGACAATAGAGAAGCTTGAAGTTTACGGGTAAACTGAACCTTGATAAAATACAGATTGAGGTTATGAGTCCATCTTATTCACCTTTATGTAAACAAGACCCCAAACTGTAGTGGCATCTTGCTTTGCCAGTGAGTCTGTGATGGTGACCACATCCTATGCGCATGGCTTCAGGTATTCCTTATAAGGAAGAGGAGAGGCTGGCTCTCGCTTTTGGGTTGTGGTGGGAGCATCAGAAGGGCAGAGACTGCATCTTCTGGAGCAGGAAGACTGTGGCGGTTATTTATTATTAATTGTGTAAGTGCTTCCCAAATAAATATCTATTTATCATGTACCTCAGGTCTGGTGGACTCACTTAAAGCCAGCCTTCGCCAAACCGAGAACTGTTCAGTAAGTATCTTCAAATCTCAACCAATTCCTATCACAGTAAAAAAAGAACCAACTTCTCAAGTCATTAAGAAATAGGAGCAAAATCATGACCAGAAACCTCACAAGGAAGGAAACATGATGGCCCAGAAGCAAATATAAAGATGCTAAGCCTCAAAGTAATTCAGTGACATTCAGTTAAAGTAACAGTGGCAACACTCTGAGGAGCCACACTATCACAGGTATAAAATTCAACAAAAATCTGAAGCAGAGAAACTCTCAGCCCACCACTGCAAGAATAAATGCCACTAACATTTCACAAGTTTCATTAATCAACATTTTTATTTCTCATACTCTTCTAACCCTTATAAAACCAGTTTTTTAGGTCAAAAACAACTATCAGCAATGGCATGTATATAACAAACTCTTAATATGTCCAATAGGAAAGCGCTTAAAAAATAACCTTTTAAAAAGCTGAAATAATCCAAATATCTCCCATTCGCAGAACAGATAAATTGTGATACATTTTTATCCTTAAACATTTAAATTTCCAAATCGTAATGTAAAAAGTAAAAGTGCCTTGACTCAGTCTGTCACAACAGCAAGGGCAGACTGGATGGTCTACATTGTTTATTCTGTGGCAGGTCTGGGGGCTGCAAGCCCAAAATCAAGACAGCAGTGGTCACCGTTCCTCGTAGCTTGTGGATGAGCTCACTCTCGCTAGATCCTCATGTGTCAAAGAAAGAGGGCAGAAGCAAGCTCTCCAGCACCTCTTAGTGAAAGACCCCGGCCCACACAGGCAAGCTGAGGCTCATGGAAAATTCCGTTTCCCCCACAGCTGAATAGTCATTTTTTTATCAGAAGGGAACTCTGCCCAGGGACACAGGTGTCTATAGCCAGCCCAGCAAGATTGGGCAAGCACAGAGACCTATTGTTCCTCAGATAGGGCCAAGGCCGAGACTTGAGTTCTGAGAGAAACCTTAATTGCCCTCGTTCTGAGCCCCCGCCTCATTTAAATTGCCCAATCAGGGTCCCGTAACTAGGCTTCTCGCTTCTGTATTGCGCTTTTTGCTATAAAAGAACCCCCGAGTCCCCAGCTCGGGGCTCTCAGTTCCCGAGACTGAGACGCCCCGGGTACCCGTGTATTATCAATAAAGCCTCTTGCTGTTTGCATCCAAGGTCGTGGTCTTGGTGTTCCTTGGGTTCGGGTCTCCCTCCCGTGGAAGTCCCCCGGTTGGGGTCTTTCATTTGGTGCATTGGCCGGGAATTGAGACCCCGCCCAGGGACCACCGACCCACTTCTGGGAGGTAAGAATTGTCCGGACTAAATTTCTGTTGTTTCTGTTGTCTGCTGTCTGTCTATGCCTGTTATTCTCTCGCGCCTGCGTTTGTAGTATACAGCTGTATGCATTTGTAAGCTCCAGGAGACGTCCTGGTAGCGTTTGGAGTACTCTGTTGTTTGGGGGCCCCGTTTGTATTTGGAGTACTCATTTGTAGGGGTGGATGTCAATCTGCCCCGTTTGTATTTGGGGGTTCTGAAGGAACCGTTTGTTTGGGGTAGATGCCTAGGAATCTGCCCCGTTTGTATCTGGGAGTCCTTAGGGACTCGGTTGTTTGGGGTAGATGCCTAGGAATCTGCCCCGTCTGTTTGGGGAAGTCCCACTGGCCGAGGGAGTTTCCATCCTGATAGGGGACAAGGACGGGAGCACAAGGCCCCCGTCCCCGATCTGAATTTGCTTTTGACTTTCGTCAAAGCCGCGCAGCGAAAATCTGTTTGTTTTTGTTTCTTATCTGTTCGTCCGTCTTAGTGTCGTTTGTCATCGCTCTCGAGAAAATGGGCCAGACAGTTACCACTCTGCTTAGCCTGACCCTTTCACATTGGCAACAGGTCCAGGAGTACGCTCACAACCGGTCTGTCGATGTGCGCAAGAAGCAATGAATCACCTTTTGCTCTTCTGAATGGCCAACTTTTGATGTTGGCTGGCCACGAGATGGCACCTTTAACTCTCAAATTATTTTCCAGGTGAAAGAGAAAGTCATGGATCCTGGACCCCAGGGCCACCCGGACCAAGTACCCTATATAGTTACCTGGGAAGTGCTGGTCTATGACCCTCCTCCCTGGGTGCGCTCCTTTGTACACCCAGGAGGTCACTCCTCCTCCTCTCCCCACCCCCTGGCCTCCAGACTGCGAGGCCGCAGGGAGCAGCCGCTCCGGATTCCACTGCCCTGCCTCCGGACGGGCCATGATGGCCAGTTGCAGTACTGGCCGTTCTCTGCCTCAGATCTTTATAACTGGAAAAATAATAACCCCTCCTTTTCAGCAGATCCTGTGAGAATGACTGATCTATTGGAGTCGGTTCTTACTACCCATCACCCCACCTGGGACGATTGCCAACAGCTTTTACAGGTCCTCCTAACTTCGGAGGAGAGATAGCGGGTCCTTCTTGAAGCCCGAAAAAAAAAATTGTTCCTGGGACAAATGGACAACCTACGCAGCTTCCAAATGAAATTGATGCTGCTTCTCCCCTCGACCGCCCAGACTGGGACTTCACCATTGAGGCAGGTAGGACCCATCTATTATTGCCAGTTGCTTGTAGCGGGTCTCCGGGGGTGCCCTACAAATTTGGCCCAGGTAAGACAGATAGTTAAGAAGGCAGAGGAATCGCCAGCTGCATTTTTTTAGAAAGACTTAAGGAAGCTTATGTATTGAGGGAGACAGAACGCATTTTTTTATGAAAAGAGAAGCTCAGACAGAGAGAGAAAAGATGGAGACAGAATGTCGGAGACAGGAAATGAGAGAGACAGGATAGCAAGGGACAAGAACCGTAACAGAGAAATGACTAAACTGTTGGCCACAGTAGTCGCAGAGCAGAGACAGGATAGGCAGAGAGAGGGACGAAGGGGGCCTCACTTAGAAAGAAGGACCTTTCGGAGACCCAAACCCCCTGCCGGTCCCCCTGGAACACTCCTCTGTTGCCAGTCAAGAAGCCAGGAACCAATGACTATAGGCCGGTCCAGGACCTCCGGGAAGTCAATGAGCGGGTTGAGGACATACACCCCACGGTCCCCAATCCCTATAACCTCCTGAGTGGACTGCCACCTGACTATGTTTGGTACTCAGTCCTGGATTTAAAGGATGCCTTCTTCTGCCTGCGATTACACAAAGACAGTCAGCCACTGTTTGCCTTTGAATGGCAGGATGCAGACCTGGGAATCTCGGGACAGCTTTGACTGGGGGGGAGAGCCAGGAGAAAGCCTTCATGGACATCAAGAAGGCTCTGCTCAGCTCCCCAGCTCTGGGGTTACCTGATCTGACTGAACCCTTTGACAAATTGACGTTGGGGCAGCCTTTGACTATCTATGCTCAGGCAGCCACCGGGCCGCTGGCTCACCAATGCCAGGATGACCCATTACCAGACTCTGTTGCTGGACAAGGACCGAATTCACTCCGGGGCTCCGGTGACCCTGAACCCCGCCTCGCTACTCCCCTCCCGGGGAAGCAGAGACTCATGACTGCTTGCAGGTCCTGGCTGAGGTCCATGGGGCGAGAGCTGACCTCACGGATCAACCCCTTCCCAACCCCGACCATGTCTGGTTCACGGAGGGAAGCAGCTTCGTACATCAAGGGGAAAGGAAAGCCGGTGCTGCATTGACAACTGAGTCAGAAACAATTTGGGCCGAGGCCTTGCCGCCAGGAACATCGGCCCAACGAGCAGAACTGATTGCCTTGACACAGGCCCTGAGACTGGCAGAAGGTAAGAAACTCACTGTCTACACAGACAGCCGCTATGCTTTTGCCACCGCTCACATCCATGGTGAAATTTATAGGCGAAGGGGGTTATTGACCTCAGAGGGCAGAGACATTAAAAACAAAAAGGAAATCCTGGCCCTCTTAGAGGCTCTGCACCTCCCAACCGCCCTCAGTATCATACATTGCCCAGGGCATCAGAAAGGCGACAGCCCCGTTGCCCGGGGAAACCGGAGGGCAGACCTGGCCGCCCGGGAGGCTGCCCTGACCTTGGAAAGCAGCAGTCACCTCCTCCAGGCAGCTGTAGTCCCTGTAACTAATGAGGCTTCCGAGAAGACCTCCCCGTCATGGGACTATGAGATAAAAGACATCAAAGCCATGAAAAGACTGGGGGCGACCCGAGTACATGATGGTCTCTGGACCTACCAAGGAAAAACTGTCCTTCCCCGCCTAATGACTAGATATTTGGTTAACAGCCTACACAAACTCACTCATTTGAGCTCCAGGAAAACGAGAGAACTGT